ACTGAGTTCAGTCCCTAGCACTGGAAAAGCAGCAACAAACTGAAACATAATGTAATAAAAAGTGTCTTTTTATTTTTTAACACTGGGATATGCCCCATGTCCAGCTTAAAATTTTACATTTTTACCATTTGTAAGAGTACAGTTCAGTGTCATGAAGTACGTTTATATTATTGTGTAACTGTCATAAACAAACATTCAGTCCCTGTTAAACATTAACCCCCTATCCCCTTTCCCCTGAGGTCCTGGTGGTCACCATTCTGCTTTTTTGTCCCTATAATGTCCCTATAGCTATTCTTTTTTTTTTTTTTTTTGGTACAGGGGATCAAACTTGGGTCCTTGTGCTTGCAATGGTAGGCCGTGGAACCGCTGAGCTAAATCCCCAGCCCTACCCTAGCTATTCTAAGTAGAATCCTACAGGATATGTCCTTTTGTGTCTGGCCTGTGTCACTTAGTGTCATGTCTTCTGGGTTCCTCATTTATGCCAGGCTTCCATTCCTTTTTAAAGCTGAATAATGTTCCATTTCATGGATGTATCACAAATCATTTATCAACCCATCAGAGTTAGGGACTTTTATGCAGGTCTGGACCATGTTTACTCTGTCCTGCGCATTCATTAGTGGCACTGCCATTGGTGATGTGAACTCCCCAGCCCTTGCCTGGCCATCATCTTGGAATGCTGGCGTCTTTCCCTGGGACTTGTTCTGTCTGAGTGCACTCTGAGGCTGCCTGGGCTTACCTGGGGAGCCTGTGGCAGGCAAGTTTGCTCCTCCTTACATTTCTGTCTCAGTTGCTCAGTGTTGGCAAATTCATTAACACACTTAAAAACTTAAAAATGATGAACCAGAAGTATAAAAGACTTTGTATAGCACGACTAGTTTAAAGAAAATGAATACACTGAGCATCCTTGTGCCTACCACCCAGCATAAACAGAGACCAGTGCTGAGGAAGTCTGCAGATTCTCCCATCACATTCCCCCTGTCCTCGCTCCTGAAGTTTCTCTTTCTTCTCTTCTTTTTCTATATGGGTTTTCCGTAAAAGACATATTGTTAGTTTTGCACATTTGTGAATTTCAATGGATTTTTCATTCAGCGTTGGATATGTGAGATTCATCTGTTGACGAGGTACCTGTAGTTCTTATTGCTCTGTAGTTGTGTATAAATGTATGAGAATTTATTTACTTTTTGTGGATATTTGGGATATTTTCAGTTTGAGGCTGTTTTTCTTTTTTAAAAATAACTGCTTTGAACCTTTCTGGAATTGGTTTTCTGGTGTGAATATATAAGCCAGCATCTCTTGGGTATGTAACTGGAGTCAGGCAGGGCCTTCTAATGTCATGCAGAATTGTTTCCCTGAGTCCCTCATTCAATCTTCTCCCACCTTTGGCATTCTGAAGCTTTTTGTTTTATTTTACAAGTTTATTGGGAGTACTGGGAACTCTCGTGGTCTTCATGTTTCCACAGTTGTGGGTGGTTTGAGTATTTCATATGTTTTTTTAACAATCTGTATTTCCTTCTGGAATGCTTTGTTTTACACAATTTGCCTGGTTGTTTTTTTTTTGTTTTTTTTTGTTTTTTTTTTTTTTTTTTTTTTTTTTTTTTTTTTTTTTTTTGTAGATTTGGATTTTTCTCACTGTGTTCAGCCTATTCACCCCTGATCTTTGTGAGACTGTCCACCATATCCCCTCCTCATCTGAGAGCAAGAGAGAACACTTGGAGTCCCCAGATTGACAGGCTTCCTCCACCAGTGTTTCTATGCTGAGCAGAAATTGTTTCAATTCCACTTTCACTGTGAATGAGCTACAGTCAGTGGCAGCTGGCGGCTTTGGAGAGTAATGGCAGGATCTGTAGTCTTTCTTCATTCTCTTCACCTCTGGAAAACATTTTCATTAAGGCTGGGCGTGGTGGCACACGTCTGTAATCCCAGCACTCTGGGAGGTACAGGCAGGAAGATCACACATTCAAGCCCGGCTCTGGCACCTTAGCAACTTAGCGAGACCCTGTCTCAGAATATAAAAAGGAGTGGTGATGTAGCTCAGTACGAAGGCCTTGAGCTCTACTCCCTCCAAAAAATCATTGGGAAAATTTCTAAACATATTCAAAGGTACACAGAACTGTGTAATGGACACCTAAGTATTCACCAGGCTTCACTACTTATAGGTATATTGCCAGGCATTTAGACCCTCACCACTGCCTCTCTCCAGTTATTTTAAATTTCAAACATGCACTTCATTATACATTTCTAAAAGGTGAGGGCCATTTTAAAAAAACACAATATTGTTAAAACATCTAAAATAATTAACAATTAATTTTTAGTTTCATATCTTTGTTAATGTCCATATTTTCCTTGCTGATATTTTAGCCAGGTCCATTGCATCTGGTTGATAGTCTATCTAAGGCCCTTAGTCTAGAGCACTCTGCCCCATATTGTTTTGTTTTTGCTTTTTGTTTGCTGTTTATTTGATGAAGCAGTAAACCATTTATCCTAAGTTCCTGCTTTCTGGATTTTATGGGCTGTATCCTCAACGTTTGGTCATCCTGAGTCAAGGCTGGCAGAGGGAGAAGCGTCTAACTCAAGACACACACGTCAGTGGGACAGTTTGGGAAGCCTGAGTGGAGATGAGTAATTAACACCTGACGAGAAAAGCACCAAAGAGTTCTGCAAGTAAGCTCAGAGGAAGCCCAGTGGTAGGTGCGGTGAGAGGGAGGGGAGACCACTCCAGGTTGGGTGACCCAGGAATTAGCCGAGAAAGTACTTTGGGTCCTGAGGACAGGCTTGCTGGTGGCCAGAACAGCATGTGCAAAGATACTGAGGCTAGAAATAACATGTCCAAGATTCCTGTTCCTTGCTCAATCTCCGCTTGTAAGCCAAGACAACCTCATTTTTCACAGGACGTTATTTCTTTGAAGAGGTCCACACTCCTCATCTTTGGAAAGTTTTCGGCAGATTTAATGAAAGAATTTGTTTCTTTTTTCTATGTCCACTTTTTGTTTCATCATTACCTCTTTAAAACTGGTGTTAGCGTTGGATTTTTTCTTTGGGTCCTGTTTGGGTACCCTTTGCACACCCCAGGGAGGAATTCGGTGAGCCTTTTTCACCTCTTCTGGCTGGAAATGCCGATGTTTTCGGGAACGCAGAATCAGTGAGCCCTCCAGAAATGGGCAAATAAGGCAGCTGGGATGGCTGGGCTTTCCTCCTGATGGAGCGCGTGGAGCGTGCGTGACCCACAGCCTGTCCTGGGCTCCCTCAGAACACTCGCTGCCCACTTAGCCCAGTGCTGCTCACCTGTGGCAAATGAGCAGTAATTAGAGTGTAATAAGGTCAGCTTCTTGTATGCAGCCTTCCTGGCCCAAAGGAATGATATCCAGCAAACCTCTTGGCCTCTCCCAAGTCCCACTGTCTCTTCTAAAGCAAGCTGGGATTTTTTTTCTCCCCAGCAGGAGTTTTTCCCTGGTCTCCTGCCTATGGAATGGACAAAGGCTATATCCAGTAAAGCCTGCTAAACCATAGAAGCTCATGAGGGTTAGTTATTAACATGCAGTGTGCTCTCAGCTACCTGTCCATGGCATTTCACCGACCACAGTCCTTTTATTGCTTCTGTTTGCCGGGGCCTGAGACCAAGCCTGAGTCACCTGCTCAGTCACTTGTGATCCGTATTAGGTGACTCCAGCACTGCTTTGATGGCAGCAAGAGTGGCTGATCAAAGTCCAGGGAGGGGCCCAATCTGGCAGAAAACTGGCTAAGGTCGTGCACACACACCAGCAGTGACAGATCCAGTGAGATGCTCATGGGGGAAACTGAGAGAGAAGATACGGGCTGTGGAATATTTTAATGGGCGAGTGGAGACTCCAACTTGGAGATATTTGTTCAGGACACCTCTGTATTTTAAAGCTGTGGATTTATTTTGAAGTCCAGAAGTATTTAGCTTTATGCAAAAGTTCTTCATTAGAGAGACTCTTAAAGAAAAATGCAAAAACGATGTGCTGTCCTTTAAAAGAAAAAGAAAGATCACATATAACAATTACTGTAAAGTGTTGCAGTGGACCTTCAAGTTATAACCAGCCTGACATATGAACAACGTGGATTATTACCAGAATTTTAGTTTTCATTTACGAACAAAGTCTTGAGTTATGACCTGAATGCCCCAGAATGCCAGACCAGCTGCTTGTGTTTCCGGATGGTCTCAGATACAGATTTAACTCTTAAAGAGTTCTGGAAGAGCAGCATCCTTTCCTGTATGGGGTTAATTGAGCAATCCTGGGCTTAGCAGTGTCTCTAAGGACCTTGAGACCTGCCTGTGTACAGGAGAGAGACTTTGAAGGCTGTGGAGAGGAGCCTGAGCTTTCATTGACCAACTTGAGTTATAGCCAGCCCTCAAAATGGAATTGAGTTCATAAGACAAAATTCTCACTATATTTTCCCTATTAACTCACTTTAGGGAATAAGCCCTTCCACATATATGAATTTCCCAAATAGCTACAGTTTAGTCCACAGAACAGAATTGTATCAGCTAGTTCATTTGTGTGTTGTGAAAAGAAAACAAACTGTAGAGCATCTAATTTGCGTAAGGTTCTGTGTGAGGAACAGGAAATGGTTAGAAATGTGGGCCCTGCTCTTACAGATCTCATTTAGGATAGGGTGTGGTGTTGTCCCGCTTAAAAAGGAGAATGATCAGATTTAACAATGGCACCACATCCCTGGATCATGTTCTTTGTGCTTGTTCCTCACTTGGTCTGCAGGACTCCAGAGCTTCACTCAGAGGATGTGAAGGTTGATGGTGGATCCTTACCCTCCTCAGTGGTCCAAAGCTTCCAGTGGTTTGGATCCTCAGTCCAGCTTCATATAGTGTTCCAGCCTTTGAAGATCATTGCTTTATTCTCTGGCTTCTCTGGGGCTGACCAATGGGATACAATCATGATTTTCTTTTTTCTATTTTTTTGGTACCAGGGATCGAACTCAGGACCTTGGGCTCGTGAGGCAGCCGGTGGAACCACTGAGCTAAATCCTCGGCTACAATCATGATTTTCAAGGTTTACCATATGCTAGAATCTTCTGGGTAGTTTTGCGAAGTCCAGCCTCTGGGACACACTCCAGATACTACTACCAGGATCACTGGGCATGGGAGCCAGGACTCAGTCCTCAAATGTTTCAAACCCCCCAGGCTATTCTTGAGTGTAGCTGAGTTTGAGAACAGTTTTTGACAGGGTTACATCCCTTACAGTTGTGTAACGCTTCAGGATCAGAGCAGCTTTCACCTTTCATAGTTTTATTCCATCCTCATAGCACCTCTCTGGGAGAGTAGTGGGTGATCTCAGTTTCCAAAAAGCTCAGCAGTAAGATTTTGGCCCATCATCCCACAGGTAGGGAATGGTGGAACTAGACTTAGAGTCATTTTCAAACTCTCAATCCATGTCTTCACATTCTTCTCTATGGCTGTTACCCTAGTCGTTCTTTGGTTGGGTCCGTTTTTGCCTGTCTACCACGGCTTGTGCAATATCCTGTCTTTTTGGCTGACTCTCATCACTTAAGGGCCTGGTTATCTTTTAGGGCCTGGCTCAGATGCTTCCGTGTTTCTGTACCTTGTCCTGAACCCCTCTCCTGCCCGGGAACTATAGGGAACTTTGGCCTTGGGTGGGACCTAGCACATCTCAGGTTTTAGCAGTAATTAAAATAATATATAACACTATGGACCCTTTTTTACCAAATGGTTGTCTTTATTACAAAATAGATAGTGGCGGGGTGTAGCTCAGTGGCACCTGGCCTGCCTGGTAAGTACAAGGTCCTGAGTTTGATCCCCAGTACCAGAAAAAATAAACAGACATTACATAATATTTTCCATTAATGGTAATTGTTATATTCATAATATTGTGTGGCTATCATCATTATCAGGCTCCAGAAAATTTTCATCATCCCCAAAGGAAACCCAGCAGTCATTCTTCACTTTGTCCCTGCTCCTGGTAACCACTAGTCTTTTTTCTGTCTTTGTAGATTTACTGACATTGGATATTTAATTTCAATAAAATCATATAATGTGTGGCATTTTGTATCTGGCTTTTGCTTGGCATAATGTTCTCCAGGTGCACTGACCATTTGTGTTGTTCAAACCCCTGTGTGTAGCTTAAGTAACTTCTCACAGCCCTATGAAATAGATAGTCCCTATCAGCCTCCTTATTATACAGATGAAGAGATTGAGGCACAGAGAGGCTAAGTAACTACTGAGCGTACGTAGGATCTCTTCCCCTGCCTGCATTGTCCTGCTGGTGTCTGCTGCTGGCTTCGACTGTAAGAGGCTGGTTGTGTAAGTTCGACTTGTGAAGTTGAATTTGAAGATAAAGATGAAACTTCAGGAGAATTACTCTGCAGCATAAGAGCAGCAGTATGATTTCTCTAGGAACAGAGATTATTAGAGATACCCCTGAGGAAACTTCAGTTCTTCATTAAAATTTTTGAGTTAATTGGCCTGGGTCAGTTTTGTTATAATTCCCCACAATCAGACATTGAGCATAGGACTGTATATCTAGTATGGGAAGCCAACTGAATGATGAAGCATCACACATTGCTGAGTGAGGAGGAACGAGTGAGTGAAGGACTTCTGAAAGATGGAGGTTATCCCAAGGCAAGAGCATCTTTTAAAAATAGTGTTTGCTGTGTACCAGGCAGAGTTCTGGGTAGTTTGTATATTTACTATTTACAGCATTAATCCAGGAAGTTGGGCTCCAAGGTTTATGTACTTTTTTTTTTTCTTTAAAATAATTCTAAATTTTGTGTTTTGGGGTGTACCATACCTTTCCTGAGGTGTGGAAAAAAAAAAACAGAGCAGCTTGATCACTTGAATAAAAAGAAAGAGGGGGAGGAAGAATACTAGTTTTAGTTAGAAGAAATGCTAACCTGTCACGTCATTTCTTTGCTTTTAAGGCTGGAGAAAAATCTTTTTCAACAACAACAAAAACGTGGTTATACTATCTACACCTTCTTTAAAAATGTGGTGAAACATGATCTTAATCTTTATGCCATACTACCTCTAGTATTTGAAGAGAAGCTTGGGGAGATCTGGTCCTTGTCATGAGCAGAACTCTTATCTTGCAGTCTGGGAGGCAGCTGCACCCTGCTGCAGGACCAGAATGTCCCTGGTAGAGAAGGTACAGTACTTGCTGGCATTTATGGCTCATAATAAGGTCAGGTTGGGCCAACAGGTTCTGAGGTCTTGGCGGATCTTCATGTGTGTTCCCTGCCCTCCTAATAATCCTCTGAGGTCAGCAGAGCAGCTATGTTTATTCTGATTTGACTAGGGAGGTAGCGTATGAGCTGGATTATACTCCCTGCCTTATCCTTCACATTCATATATTGAAGCCCTAACCCTCAGTACCTCAAAATGAGAATATATTTGTAGACAGGGTTTTAAAAGAGGTGGTTATGTTAAAATGAGATCACAAGGGAGGGTGGTCCTTTAATATAACTGCTGTTCTTGTGAGAGGTTAGGACCCAGGCATGTAGAGAGAAGAGCATGTGAAGACACAGGGAGAAAGTGACCATCTACAAGCCAAGGAAAAAGGTCTCAGAGGAAATCAACCCTGCTTACAACCTGTCTTAGACATCAGCCTTCAGAATTGGGAGGAAATAAATTTTTGTTATTTAAGCCATTGAGTCTGTGGTATTTTGTTACGGCAGCCCTAGCAAACTAATGCAGTAGCTAAGACCCAGAAATTCCATGTATTCCTTTGAGCTGTTTTCCATTCCGTTGTACTTCACCAATAATCACAATATGAGGCTGAATGACATAGCCAATGTATGAAACCACATGGGGTTCATTGGAAGTAGAGGTGGATTTTGATTGGGGGTAGCTTCAGGAGACGTATTGGGCTGGCTTGGACCCTGAGTGACAGAGGACTGGCAGTCTAGGTGGGAAACAACATGGCTCTCAGGATGCTGAAGTGTGGGAGATAGGAAGGAAGGCTAAGACCACTCAGTGGTCCTGAGCAGTGGAGTTCTTACCTCTCTGTAGGGTGCTGAGAGGTGGGCAGTCACCTGATGAGGTGGTTAGCTATAGTGTAGGTCTCAGTGTCGTGCTGGGCACTGATAGGATGGGCAGATAGGTACGTTGGAGTTTGAGTATTCGAAATCCACTGGATTTGGTGGTTGGATTTAGCCATGGGACTGAGGGTGAAGAAGAGACCCTGTGTTTTGTGGATGGCAGGTTGGTAAGATTGAAAACCCAAGGAATGGAGCAGCTCTAAGAGGGGCCCTAGCATTGTGTTCACTGACTTTTTGTAAAGGTTGCCAGTGTAAGATGTTTTCATGTCTTTTTTCTTTAAGAACCCCCCCAAGTAGTGTAATCTTTGAGATGCCACAAAACTGGGGCTTATTCTTGGTTGTTTTAGATGAGGCCAGTGAGAGGCCAGCAAATCAGATAACCTGGAGAGAAGCTCGGAAAGAGTTTGAATAGAATCCACACCCTGCAGTAGCAGGATAGGACAGAGGGAGAGAGAACAGCCCTGGCTATGGCTGTACACTGCGTTGCTGTGCCAAGCTCTGGGTGAGCTCCTTCACATGAACTTGGAGCTTGCGCAGTTCCTAAGCAGAGGTGTGCTGTTGCTGTCACCAGGTATCACCTGGCAGTACAGGTGAGACCAGGGAGGCAGCTCCTCCTCCATTCCATTGTCTCAAACCTGGGAGGAGTCAGCATTTTCAAGGGAAGGAGAATAACAGAGATAAACATTTACTGGGGATCTGCATGTACACAGAACCAAACCAGATGCCAGGCAGATATGAGACCAAGTCAGAGATGCATCTCTTTCTGCAGCTCTCTGCCTATTAAGTGAGACGTGTCTTTCACAGTTTTCTTGCTCAAGGGGGAGGGGCCAGGGCAAGACTGAGAATGTTGATAGTTGTTGCTCGTTTTAAACGCAAGAACTGGTAGTCTAATATGGGACCAAGAGAAGAACACAGGACTTTGTGAAGAGTTCATTGAAAATCATGTCTCTGAACTCCAGGTGGGAATTAACCTTATTCTGTCTGAATGATATCTCATAGCTTTATAGGTCATCCACTATGATGGGATGAGAAGGGTGATGTAGATGTGTCTATACCAGATTGTCTCAAACTGAATTAATTCTCGCTCTCTCTCTCTCTCTCTCTCTCTCTGTGTGTGTGTGTCTCTCTCTCTCCCCAACTTTCTTCTCAGTACTGGGGATTGATCCCAGAGTCTTCACGTGGAGTTACATCTCCAGCCATCTTCCATCTTTATTTTTTATTTTGAGACAGGATATCACTTAGTTGCCCAGGTGGGACTTGAATTTGTGATCCTCCTGCCTCAGCCTCTTACGGTATTAGGATTACGGTCATGTGGCACTGTGCTCTGCTATTTTTTCCTTTTTCTTTTCCTCCTTCCTCCTTTCTTCCCTCCTTCTCTTCCTTGTCTCCTTTTCCTTTTTCTTTCTTTTTTTTTTTTTTGAAATGTGTTTTCAGTATTTTACCCAAGCTGACCTTGAACTTTTAGACTCAAATGATTTTCTGCCTCTCAAGTAGCTGGAACTACAGGCATGCACCATGTACCTGGCCCAACTGAATTTTGAAGACTCATTTTTGTATTCACACACATGCTGAGTGAAATTAACCTTACATGAAAGGGTAGCCTGTGTATAATTCCAAATATAGACAGTTCTAGAACTGGCCGAACTAGTATGTGCAGGAAACAAATCAGAATAGCTCTTGCCAGAGCAGCTGGGGTAGAGGGGTATGTGTTACACATATATTTCCATTTGTCAAACCACAACAGCTCAGATTGCTGCATTTTGATATAAATACAACTTAGCACCCTCCCAGAAAAAGAAGTATAAAACAATTAGTAGAGAGTGAGGTGAGGAACATACTGTAGAGGAAAAGATGAAACAATGACATATTTACTACTCTGTTTACTATGCATTTATATGGCACTGTCTATAATGAAGAGTTCTTTTAGAGAAATAAGTGACACGTCAGGTCCCATTTGTTCCCACCTCCTTCCTGGAAGCCTGCCCGCTGTCTCCTGGGG